ATTACTATGCTCACCGAGCTACGTGTCCTCAATCTATCGTGGAATTACATTAATGATATGCCTCAGCGATCGATCAAGAGCTGGCCGCAGATGGTGGAGCTCTACTTGTCTGGCAACGAACTGACGACCCTACCGGCCGACGATCTAGAAGACGCCAGTTTATTGCAGGTGTTGCACATCAACGGAAACAAGTTCACCAACCTGCCAGCCGACATATCCAGGGCTAAGAAACTGGCAGTTTTGGACTGCGGCAGCAATTACCTGAAGTACAACATTTGTAACGTCCCGTACGACTGGAACTGGAATCTCAACCCGAACCTGAGGTATCTCAACCTCTCAGGCAACAAACGCTTGGAGATTAAACAGACAGTCACGGGCCCGACAATTCCGAACCGTGAATCGCTGGCCGACTTCAATAGGCTCTTGAACCTCAGGGTTCTAGGTCTCATGGATGTCACCCTTACACAGCCCACCATTCCGGATCAAAGTGAGGATCGTCGTGTGCGCACGTCCGGGTCTTTGGCGGGTCACCTTCCCTACGGTATGGCCGACACGTTGGGCAAGAATGAGCATCTGTCGACTATCGATCTTGTGGTACCTCGTTACAACTCTTCGGAGACCGAGACCTTGCTGGGCCTGTTCGACGGTCAAGCGCTATCGAGCGGCGGCTCCAAGATTGCCAAGTACCTACACGAGAACTTCGGCCACATCTTCACCATGGAATTGAAGGCCCTCAAGACGCGGCTCAACGAAACACCCGTGGATGCTCTGAGACGCGCCTTCTTGTCCCTGAATAAAGACTTGGTTACCATTGCTATCCAACACACCGAGGAGCGTTCTCAAAAGACGCATAGGGGCTCTGCGACACCCGTTGTGTTGAGCAAGGAAGACCTCAACTCTGGTGGGGTTGCAACTGTTGTCTATCTCCAAAACCAAGAACTCTACGTCGCCAATGTGGGAGATGCTCAAGCCATGCTCATTCAGACCGACGGGTCTCACAAGATTCTCACACGAAAGCATGACCCCGCAGAGCCCAGTGAGCGCCAACGTATTCGAGAGGCCGGTGGTTGGGTTTCTCGTAACGGCAGACTCAACGACCTTCTCGAGGTTTCGCGTGCTTTCGGCTACGTTGACCTGATGCCGGCAGTTCAGGCTTCGCCTTATGTCAGCAACTTTACGATTCGTGAGCAGGACGACATCATCCTGATCGCCACGAGGGAGTTCTGGGAGTACCTGGATCCCGCTCTGGTTGTTGACTTTGCGAGACAGGAGCGTGGTGATCTCATGAGGGCATCGCAAAAGCTACGAGACCTGGCCATTGCTTATGGCGCTACAAATAAAATTATGGTCATGATGATCAGCGTTGCCGATCTTAAGAGGAGGAGCGAGAGGTCAAGGCTTCATCGCGGCCAGAGCATGTCACTGTATCCTTCTGGCGTTCCCGACGACCTCCAACAACCTCTACGCAGAGGCAAGAGGAACAAGGGCGATGTCCTTGACTCCACGCTGCAGCGTCTTGAAGCCGAGATCCCAGCGCCCACGGGCAATGTGTCGATCGCGTTCACTGACATCAAGAATTCGACAACTCTCTGGGAGATGTATCCGGCTGCCATGAGATCTGCCATCAAACTGCATAACGAGGTCATGCGTCGGCAGCTCCGAAGGATTGGTGGATACGAGGTCAAGACTGAAGGCGACGCGTTCATGGTATCGTTTCCGACGGCCACGTCAGCGCTGCTCTGGTGTTTTGCCGTCCAGATGTCGCTGCTGGATGTGAATTGGCCCTCCGAGGTTTTGAATTCCGTTTCATGTCAGCCATTGTACGACAAGGACAATGCCCTGATCTTCAAGGGTCTCTCTGTGCGCATGGGTATTCATTATGGCGAAGCCGTCAGTGAGATGGACCCCGTGACAAGGCGTATGGATTACTTTGGGCCGATGGTCAACAAAGCCTCGCGTATCTCGTCTGTCGCCGATGGAGGTCAGATCACCGTTTCATCCGACTTCATTTCGGAAATACAGCGTTGTTTGGAGAACTACCAGGACACGGACAGGAACGGGTCTACTGGGTCTGAGGACACGTTCGTCGACGACGACCAGGGCTTCGCTTCGTCGATCCGCAAGGACCTACGCTCTCTTAGTTCGCAGGGCTTCGAGGTTAAGGAAATGGGCGAGAAGAAGCTCAAGGGTCTTGAAAACCCCGAAGTCGTGTACTCGCTGTACCCACATGCTCTTGCAGGCCGTATCGAGCACCACCAGCAACACGAGCAACGCACTGAGGTCGACAAGCCCGCGATCCTTCAGGCTGGCAGCGAGTTGGCTTTTGACACCGAGTCCATTTGGGCTTTGTGGCGTGTCAGCTTGAGGTTAGAGATGTTGTGCAGTTCGCTCGAGAACGTGTCCAGCCAGGGCCTGCAACCACCCGAAACAGAGTTGCTGGAGAGGATGAAGCACCGTGGAGGTGAAGTCACAGAGAGATTTCTGCTCAACTTTATGGAACACCAAGTGAGCAGAATAGAGGTAAATTTCCTTAGCTCTGGGGTGCGAGGCGTTTACTAACACAAGAGTTCAGACATGCGTCACGACCCTGTCACTACGTCATATCGCTATCGGTAATGCACCCTTGGAACAGCTCCAGGACATGCGGGGTCCCATGAGCGACATTCTCGACCAAGTTGCGAAACAGATGAGCGAGCTGGCAAGATACAAGGCACTATACGGCGAGCTGGACGAATCCGAAGATGGAAGCGAAACGGAATGAAAGCGGTGTGGCGAGCGTTTATTCACGATTCTCATGCAACGGCATCAAATATATAGTATACCTATGACGCGAGACAGCATCTCGTCAACATCAACAACACCTGGATACCCGTTTCTTTTGGAGAGGGAACACGGCGCTCTTATATACTTATTCCATTCCTGTATCATGCGATTACGACGACACCCAAACAGTTCTAGCGAGCAGCAGTTCGGCGACTGCTTCCTGTATTTCACTGGTTCAGGGGGGGGGGGGGGGGGGGGGGGTGGGTATGGCTCACTTTGGGGAATGATAAGTAGCTGCGCGTGACGGTTTTTGGAGGCGCGTTGGATGCGCGATGCATGCAATGGCCTTTTCTGGTTCTGTCGGAAGACGAGCCAGGCGGCGACAGCCGGGGCTGCCTGTGTTGGATTGAATGAAAACTGAAAAAGTGGTTGTGATATGGTTTTGATGTTTCTTGTTCCAAGGCGGGCGGCGGTCGCGGCCGCGCGATGAATACGAGAAACAAGGCCACGCCTTGGTAGGCTCGTAGTAGGATAGTGTCTGCTTGTTTTATTGCCCGAGCCGGAGCATATTGCGCGGCGTATGGAATGATTCAATCCGTATTTCAACTGCCGTGCCTCATGTCCCATGGCCTCTTGCTGAAGTGAGCTCTATCTATTGGTTGTTATTAACTCCGGTAACCCTCAAGAGGGAGGACCTACGGCGCAGGGATACCCCACAACTAAAGCTCGGCGCTGCCGGCCTAGTTAGAGGACCCTGTGGGTTAATCTAGCACCTCTGCGGGTTACCCCCCAAGCGGGTGCCAAATTAAGCCGCACTCAGTGAAATTACCTAGTATCTCTAACTTTATGTGTATTCTTAGGAGGAAAACACTAATTTATAGGTTCAAGATAAGGGATTTGCACTAGTAAAGAAGGACGTTGTTTTACCTAGGACCCCTTTGCAGAGGGATCCTAGGCTAGTTATTAGTTAATAGTAGATAGGCAGAGCGGGCGCCTTGTGCCACACAGATGGACCTAACGGGCGTTAAAGAATATGACCATCATCATTATCATCACCCGGACATGCCCGATTGGTCTTCGGCATAGGGACATGCCTTTCAGAGAGGAGATATAATGTAATAACCCGACCAGTTACGTAACTATATAGGTCATAACATAGGATAATAAAGCAGGAGTTTTATTACTAAAGCTTTTCCTTTATGCTACTCACCGTAACAATGATATAGTTAATGTCAGGGAACTCAGGTGGTGTACTAAGCCCGTCCATAGACCGTTTGGGCAAATACCCAAAAGATCAACCAATGTTGGCACTTTGTGCCAGCATTACACCACACATACCGTATCCTCTCAGTAAATTCGCCCATAGCTAATTGACAAGCTAACAGCAAGGAGCAAAGTAGCCGCTTGTGGCGCTAAACCTATTATAGAAAGCAGTCAGCCTATCCACTTATCCACCAATTTGCCCACTTGCCCTTTATTTACTGTTCTGACGCCTTAACTTCCTGCTGACGTAAATGACTAATCCCTGCTTTTACTGTTCTAGATCCCTGTTTCTGCTAGCACACTATACCTCTTACAGCGGCTGCGATACCCCTTGCCGTTAGCTTGTGGATTAGCTATGGGCGAATTTACTGAGAGGATACGGTACACTTATTAAGGGAAACCCCACTTATTCCCTTACACCTACGTTGGGCTCAGAGGGACTAGGTGCAGGGAGGCAGTATCTGGCGGCAGGTGTCGCCAGATGCCAGGCTGCCCAGGGCCTTCGGGGTTCGCATGACCTTGTGCTCCAGCGCACAGATACCGGCGCTAGTGCGGGCTCCTCGGGACGCATCGCATTGAAAGGGGGGCAATTGTAAGGATATCGCCGAGAGGTCGGCGATAGGGCGCCTTATAAGGTCATGTGTGGTGCAGCTCTGGCACGTAGTGCCAGAACTGGCGGATCTTTTGCCAGTTGCCAGAACGGTCTATTGTCAGGCGTTGGCACACCACCCAATGCCATTACATAATTTAAGTAATATACCTTCATTTTTAATCTTTTTTACTGAGTATATATTTTAAAGTATGATATAGTAGTATACAATTGATAGAAGAATTAAATATAAACGTTTTATTAGATTATATTGTTAATAGAATAGTTTTATACTCTTTCTATTTTTATTCCTCTTTAAGATATATAAATACAAAGACAGATAACCTATAGATTATCTAGTGTTAGTTCTTGCTTTTTACCTATATTTAAACATTATTATCTACTCTTAACATATAACTTATACACCGCCTATAATGCACTTCCACTCTGTTGCTAGTACCTTATTTGCCCTAGCTATAGCTGTTAGCGCTACGCCTATCCCGGAGGCGAAGAACTATCTAGCAGCCCGCGACGCCCTGGCTGAGCTGCAGCCCCGGAAATTCAGAGTTTGTGCACCACTGTTTGCCAACTGCGGTATCACCAGAGGGAAGCTGCCTTGCTGCGCGAACTTATATTGCAAAAGTGGAGCCTGTGCATCACCTCGAATCCACCCGACCCGATGGGGTTATTAAAGCCTAGGATTACTTTAAAAGAACGTAAGTTGTTAAGCTTTTGTTAAAGAGTGTTATATCTAGCTAATTCTACTAGCATCGTCCTCTATCTTGTTGAGAACTCCTGATAGAGTGTTATGACCCAACAAGTTACAGGCAAAGCTGCCCCACTAGACAAGCACAACCAGCGGGCGGCATGGCATTTGTACAGAACCAAGTGACAGGTCAGACAGATGACTCCTCAGACATAGAAGAACTATAGTGGAAGTCACATGAAGATAATGAAAGTAATTACACAATAAGGTGATCACATGGCAACATTCACATCACGTCATGTGGCAAAGCTTGCCTTCATTTATTTAATAAGCCTTTATTCAATGCACGGACGGGCCTACTTTTCCAGCTGGTCACTCTGAGCCCGAGTGTTGTGACGGACTTGGAAAGTGCTCCACACAGTTACTGGGAGACGATCCGGACACCAGCGCCGGCATCTTTGGTCCGTTTCAGGATCCGGATCCGTGGTTCCATGCGCGGCCCAACCCACCAGCCGCCCGTCAATCCCCGGACTAGGTCACGCACCCGCTTGACTACCAGGCCTCGTCCCAGGATCCTTGGCTCCCCTTCCTCCTCGTCACCGCCATCAGATGGGGACTTGGACCCGGGTCGTAGGATTTCGACGCCAGCGTAGCCCTGCACGATGCCGACCGTCTCCCATTGGCCGCCCCTGACGGAGGCCGGGTCTTCAGCGATGACGTAGTCGAAGCGGGACCAGAATGCAGGATCGGCGAGGACGGCCTTGTCCTCGGTCTTGTCGAACGTGAGGATCGGCAAGGATGTCGTCGTCGAGGCGGAGGTGCCGTCATGTAGGGCGGACTCGAGGGCGCGGGCGTGCGGGTTCTTGGGCAGGCCGACAAGGTTCTGATTGAAGAGGGTGACGCCCGTCATGCAGCTGAGGACGTCGGTGTGGACGGAGGTGACGGCGCCACCGCTGCCCGAGGAGTCGGAGACGACGAGGGCGTGCAGCTGGCGGAGTGCGTCGCCGCCGGGGTAGTTTAGGGAGGAGAGGAGAAGCATGCCCGTTGAGGCGGCGAGGGAGGCAAGAACGCTGAGTACGAGAGCGGCCGAGGCCAGGGCGTAGAGCGGAGACTTGGAGCGGCGAGCAAAGATCAGGTTTGCACCCTGGGCTGCTGCGGCGGTCAGGGGCGGAACGGTATAGAAGATGAAGCGGGCTTCTTTATGTGGTTGGAGGGAGTAGATGGCAACAAAGAGGAGGGGGGGCACCACGAGGCCAGCTGCTGTGCGGGATGTTGCTGGGTGAAAGAGGGCCAGCGGGACTAGGAGGAAGGCCAGGGGATTGACGAGCAGGCGCGGCAATGCCGAAGAGAAGTAGTAGTGCCAGGGGGAGACGCCCCAGTTGGACGAAGAGCCAAGAATGGCGTTGTAGTAGAAACCCCAGAGCTCCGGCCAGAGCGGCTTCTGCCAGAAATACGAGTCGAGGGGCACGGAGACAGTGACGGCGACGGCGAAGGAGATGAGAAAGGGGCGGACAAGGCGGAGAATCGTGGTTTGGTGTGTGGCGAGAAGGTAGAGGCCTGTGGTTGCGAGGAGGACGGCGACTTCGGAGCGGAAGATTGCGGCAGCGAAGACAAGGAGGGAGATTGCGACACGGAGGCGCGCGGGGCGGGACTTGGGAGAGGTGGAAGGAGATGGGAGTAGGTTTGCTGCGGCAAGCGTTGCTGAGCAGTGTCAGTCCTTCGGATCTTTCATTCGAGGGGAGGCTGAGGGCTCAGTTAGGGGAAAGGGGGGCGAGAGGGCACTCACTCAAGCCGAAGGCAAACATGTTGGGCAATGTCCTTGAAGCGTAGAACACAACATGGAACTGGCTGACTAGCAACACAACCCACCACCTCATCACATTCGAGCCCAACCCTTTACCCAGGCTCCTGGCAAACACCAGCAGCGCGGCAGCGTTAGCAAACCCCAGGAGCGCGCGGACGATAAGCTGGGCGTGGTGGAAGCCGAAGAGGTTGACGACGGGCCCGCCAAGGCCGGCGAGGAGGACAGGGCCGACAAAGGTGCGCGGGACGGCACCGGGGAATTCAAAGTGATCGTAGGTGGCGCGCAAGCGAGCGGCGACGTCGTGAGTGGGCGTGCCGTAGACGAGCACGTCATGGGCGGCCTGGATGTTGAAGGATTCCTCGACTTTCGTGTCCGGGGCGAGGATAAGGTGAAGTGTTATGAGAGCAGGAACGAGGCCCAGGAGGACGACATCTGGAGTTTGTTAGTGTTGGAGGTTTTCCAAAGACTATTAGGACCGAGAGGGTGTGTGTTGTGAGATATTTACCTAGGAGCTTCATTATGAATGAGTGAGTAAAGGGTCCGAAGGGAGGAGCAGAGATGTGTCGCAAAGGGAAAAGGAGTCTCTGATGCTTAATCTCATTGCGGAGGGACGAACATAAATGCGAACAGAAGAGAAGCAATGGGCAGGCCGCGAGGTTGTGAAACAATTTGCCCTGTGCTTTCTCACCTTATCATTTTGAAATCGTTTATCTTCTTCACGATTTTCTTCTTTGCATTCAGAGCAGGTGTAAGCTGGCGTCTCGTGCCTGCTAATGCCATTGAGAAAGTGCGTTCTGAGCGAGCGTCCGTGCACGGCACCAGCTAGCTCATAGCAATGCTGATCTGATAAGTTAGGTTCTCCGTAGTCAGTTTACACTACTACCTGGAGAGCTAGTGGACACAGTGACAAGTAGTGCCTCAATGCAGGGATCCTCGGAACGGATCAACGTGCCCCTCCAAAGCTCTGGACAGAACAACACATCCCTCCATCCAACCGGTCACTATCACCACCTGGCTCCTGATCCCCGGCGCTCCGTTCCTATAACCTCAGCCCAACCCTGCGGAAGGAGACGCTACGCCTTGATCCAACCCAGCAGACCAAATACCAGCTCCCCCGATAGTGCGCGACCGGATGCCAACGGAACCGTCAAGATGTACATCATAGGCAACTTCCTCTACAGTCCGTCTTCCCTCTTCATACGAATCTCGCAAGCTTTCCACGATGCTAACATCTCCCTTCCCAGTCGCTGTCCTCCTCATCAACGCCATTGCCATCCTCTCCGAAGACCGCTTTCTCGCGCGCAGTGAGGGCCCCCTCTTCCCCCGCCCTCTCCCACCTGCTTACTTACCCCCTGAATCTACGACCTCGAGGCGCATGGTAGAGCCGGTGGTTGGTGTAGGAACAAAGCCCAGCTAACAACTGCAAAATAAACAGTCAACCTCTCCCCCTCTTCCTACGACCCGAGCTTTGGCGCAAGTACCGACGCCAGTGTCAAGGCGAAAATCATTAACCTGATCGCCAGCGTACGGACTCTCATGAGAAGTACGACCCCTTCCTGAGAGCGCGCGCAACCTGTCTGCGCTCCTATTTCTCCTGAAATCCGTGCTAATAGTACTTCACGCAGTACCGTTGATTGGGATCAACACCATCATCATCCTGTACGAACTCATCCTCGGCTAAAGACTCTGAGGCAAAGACGGGGAAAGGTTGACGATAGCTGCATCTTCACTTCTTTTTGGGGTTTTTTCTTTCGAAAAAATGGATCATACACATGGCTTGTAGCACTTTTCCACCGCATGGCATCATGGTAATGAAACGGCGTTGAGGGGGGTAAACGGGCGCGGTTTGGGTTTGTCGGCTGGGCACCAGGTGTCCGAGTGTACAATTCACTGGCAGCGATCGATTATCGTCAAAATCTTGGGCGGGGACAATGCTTCAACTATTCCGAACTGAGCCCTAGCTCTCCCGGAAGCACATCGTCTCTCGATATTCTGTACCATCTGTCATCGGCGGCGTCTTGTGCTATTGTACAGCCCGACAAGATGCCGGAGGGGAAAGTAACGCTCGAGATGCCATCATCGCACATATCCCCCTATGCCATCATTAAGTGAAAAAAATATTATCCAAGCAAACCACACCATGCTCGGGTATCTGCTTGCGCCAAGAGTCGTCTCCCCCCCACTCCCAAAGTTCTTCATGTACCCAATGATGGTGATTCGTGCCAGTTTGGCTTGGCCATGTACTGCGCCAATCGTGCAGAACTACCTCTCGACCCCCCTCCCCCCTTTTTTTTTCATGTATGTACTGCAATATATCACAATGGAGCCATCAGAGAAATCCATGACAACGTCATTTGTCGCTTCATGAAAGCAAGTTGCCGCTCTTCTTCCTGCCAAGATTGAAACTGAACCGCTCCCTCAACTCCTTGGGCTTATCTGGCTGGTTTGCTGATCCATCGGAGCCGTTGTGACCATTTTCTGATGGTTGGCGCGATTCGCCCTTGTCTTTATCCTTGCTCAGGAATCCAAAACTCTTCCTGCTCATCGACTTACTTGCCCGGCTCGACCGATTGAGGAACCCGCCTGGACTTGACGAGTCCTTCTTCTTGGTGTCGTCCGGTGCTGATTTCTTACTGGCCTCAATTGCTTTGTGCAGGTCGTCCTGTTCTCGCTGATAGGCATCCCTCCTCCGGGCCATACTCTCCCTTTGTTGCTTCTCCTCCTGTTTCGCCTTCTCCTTTTCAGCTTGCTTCCGGGCCTTATCCGCAGCTTCCTGTTCCTTCTTCTCGCGCTTCTTGTCATCTTTGGACTTATCCGTCTTCGCCGCCGTGTTGGACCTGGTGATGCCAGCAGGAATCGTAGGAACAGGAGGAGTAGCGAGCTTCTCGTACGCTGGAAGCAGTTTCTCTGGCGGCGGAGCGTCCACCTTACCCGGGGCGGTTTGTGCATGTGCGAGGCTCGGAAGCGGCTCCTGTTCGTCGGTTTGACTGATGGGCTGCGTGAACTGTTTCGAAAGCGGCGCCGTGCCATTTGTGCCATTTGTGCCGTTTGGCTGACCGTTCTCATGAGCAACGTTGGCAGCTTCACTAGCGATCTTGACTTCCTCCAGCCCCTCGGCCTCCATCTCAGCTTGCACCTTTTCGAAAGTGGTTTCCTGGTAGAACAAAACGTAGGCGCAAGCCATTCCAGGCTTGTCGCCGAAAAAATTGCGAACAAAATGCTTGTCAACCGGCTCCACCATCTCATCGTCAAAGAGAACCCAGCCCCGGTCTTTAGTCTTGATTACCGAGACGTAATGGCCGTGGTAGGCGTTTCCGCCAATGTGAACGACGACGGCGTACAGTTCATAGAGCCTGTCGGGGTCTTCTGCATCATCGGTGGTATTGAACATGCGCAGGTGATAGGGATACACGACCCTGTGGAAGAGCTTCTGCAGCCGACTGTAGTCCTCAGTGTACTTGAATCGCTTCAAATGCAGTGCGAGAACCTTCGGTAGCCGCTTAATCTTCATTCGCTTTTCGGCCTCCTGAAGTCCGCCGCAATGGTCGCAATGGAACTTGTTACGCTCACACAACATCTCCTCGGCCGAGAATTTGCGCAGGCAAGACGTTACCGACGAATGTTCCTCCAAGTCGATGGACAAGTCCAGGAATGTTTCATCTCTTTGCGAAGCCGTTTCGCAAGTGAGGCACTTCGTTTCTGACGTCAAGACACCCTCGAAGATGTCATGCACCCAGCCAGTTCCTGGCGAACCCATCCCGTTGGGTGACCGGCTGATGGGGTTCGCTGCCCCGAGAGCGTTCTCCACGGACTGGATCAGGCCATCTTTCGTCTCAGCCTCTCGCTCCTGAACACGTTTGGCGTTTGCCTCGACATTGGATATGACGTCGTTGAGGACGAGACCGTAGAATTCGTGGGCATCCTGGTGCATCGAGTTGCGGAACATCTCGTTGTCTCGCTTGAAGATTTCCAAGAACCGCTGCGGGCTTAGCACGCCCGTCCTCGTGTTGCTTTCGATGAGTGCTTGGAAAATATCCTTTAGTCCTGTGAATGTGCACTCTTCCATGCCGTACGCGGACGGGTTTTCTTGCGCCAACTCCAGAATCGGACCCTTAATCATGGCCTGCTTCTTCTTGTATTCCGGGGAATCAGGCTTATCTTCCGGGCGTATTGCTGGCGCGCCAGGAGGGACCATTCCCGCGGCTATGGCCTGCCTGCGCCTCGTCGACTCCGAGGCACTAAGGCCCTTCTGTTTCGCACCAGGGGTATTCGGGGGCTCTTTTGCGACGGGCGGCCGGATCGTCACATTCACCTTCGGTCGGGTTCCGTTCGGGGTATCGGTAGGTGAGAGTAGCGGATACTTGATAACATGGTCACGGAAGGATTCCGAGTAGAATAGTGCTTGAACGATCGAGTTGCAGTAGCTGCGGAGACAGTCAGTGAGTGAGAGCAAACGGGGGCGACGAAGCTGCGTACCAGGTATTTCCAAACTGTACGGCCGATTAGTACTCGTTGTCTCAGGAAAGAGGGTGGTAGGCCGGGTGGGGCATTGAGGACTTACATTCTCGAGGCCAAAGAACTTGTCGGTGCCATCTTCCCTCAGCGGACCAGCATTCTGCAACATCTTCTCCAGGGGGGTGAGCTCTGGTGCTGGCTCTTCCTTGACCTTCTTGCTCGGCGCATCTTTGCTGGTGGGGCTCGATGATGTCTGAGTATCGTGATCACCGTCAGCAATGACGTCGCGGAGACAGCAACAGGAGAACGGAGACGAGAAGCAAGCAATATCAGACGTTACGTTCAGGGAGGGGGGTGGGTTGAGGGTTGACGAGGGAGCAAACGTACGTTTCCCGCACTCTTGAGTTTGTTGAAGAAGCCTGCCATGTTGGCGACTTCTCTCCGATGCGTTTATGAATAGAAGCCGCGATCAATTCTCGTCGGGTAGTATCGGCGCGAGACAAGCTCACGAAGGCCGGTCAGAGAAAGCAAAGACTACCATGCGATAGGCAATTGGGCTCGCGATGAATGATATAATATCGAGGGGAGTGCGGGGAGAGGTGATGTCGTGAATTGGAGCGAATTCGGGCGATGCGCGCGGTTGTGGCACCGAGCAGTATGGGTCGTGTTCTCGGGAATTCGGCCGAAGCTGGCGGTTGGTCTGTGGAGGGACGATGGAGAGAGGACGGAGAGATGTCAGGGGAGATTGAAGGCGGACGGTGGTTGAAGCGGCAGCATTTGCCAGGACGCAGAGATGGGACCAGGCCGTGTTGGCTAGCAGTGAGAAAGAGGAGACAGCGATGTGGGAGCAGACGGGGAAGGATGAGGAAAGTAACAGGAGCTGTAACAGCTGGGCCACAACACACACATGCACACACACACACAAATAGAGAGGGAGGGAGGGATTAGGACTCTCAAGACTTGGGGTCCTGGGGTTGATGGGCGCAAATAGCAAGGAGCAGGCAGGACGGGAGGCGAGCTTGTGGGTTGGAAAGCAAAGACGAGACAGGATTGGACAGACGGAGAAGTAGAACGCGACAGCGACAGACAGCGACGGTAGGCGACCCTACTTAGGCACTGTACTGTGTGTACGGGGAGTACATACCTAGATAAGTGGTAGGTAGGTAGGTCATTTGGGGCACTTGGGAATGGCAGGCTGCTAGTGGTGGGACCGACGACGAGGGGTGTTCCACCCAGGCAACCCGCAGGTTGACAGTGCCAGTGTAGGGAAGGTGGAGGTCGATGGAAGGAATCGAAGGGTTGCAGGACACAGAACGGACCTAGTACTACTACGGAGCGAGTGCAAGGCTAGACAGTCCAGACATGGGGTTCCCGACCAGGGGGTGGCATGGAGGCTGGAGCGAATGTGTCC